ATGGCCGCCAATAATATTCAAATATGCTTAACTTTGGAACCAAACACAATAGAAAAACATTTAAGGTGACATTTACAACTAAGTTTAGGGTGCCCATTCAGTTAGTGATACTTTTGAGATCAATGGAATTCAAGAAAATGCATTTAGGTCAAGGTCAAGGTAAAAATTTGCTTAAAAAAAAAAAACATTTTCCCCTCTTTTTTTTTTTTTTAAATGAACACCAAAAATATTTCAATTACTTTTTACTCTCATGTATTATTCAGTAACTAGTTATCATTTACTGGGATGTGTGGTTATTTTTTCCTGCTAAGCACATCATTATCAGCAGATGGCCCTCAAGAGCATCAGTAGCTAATGCCAGTAGCCATGTAGTCAGTAGGCAACGTGATGAGTAGGCTACAGTATGCACAAGTGACGAGACAGAGAGCACTTCTGACATAAATATCCTACCAGGTAAACTGACTGACTATGTACAGACAGTGGTCGTGTTTCCCAGTTAAGAGCGATCTTAAGACTTAAGAGCACAGTTAAGAATGTCTTTGGTAAGAAGGGTCGCTAAGATACGAGTGTTTCCCAGATGAGTTCTTAAGGCCCTTCTTAGGATCACTCTTTAAGAAGCTCTTAACAGGAGCTGGACACTACCGCGGTGCTGAAACTAAATCAATTGATGTCAGGCAAATCAATCACCCACCACTTCATCAGCCATAAGTCAGTCACAGCGCTGCTACCTAACGCACTAACCCCCTGCTGCTCGTGTGTAAGTGTGCTCTAATAATTCTAATGAAAAACTAAGACGATAAATATTTGTTAATGACCTATTGTCATGACGAAAACAAGACTATGACTAAATAAGAAGTAGTCTTGGTAAGAGAATCATGAGGACTGTGTGTTTGATCGCCTGTACCAGTGAGGTATTAAAAGTTGGTAACGAAGGACACCGAGTGTTGCTGGTTTTGTCTTGTTGATACTGTTCTGTGGCCGAGCACCTCCAGATGTTTTTCTTCTTTTTTGAGAGTGCATGTTGTCTTTCTTCATTAATGTTTTATATTTGACCTAAAAAACACAGACGCCTTGCTGAGGCCAGTGCCATCTCCCACCACCTCCAGGAAGCTCCCCACTGCGTAAAAACGCAGCGCAGCCAGGCACTGCACCTCCGGGCTGAGGGCCAAATTGCACCAGGTTGCCCTCTGGATGTGTGGAGACACTAATTGATGAGGCGTTGTATCTCAGTACTTCATTTGGACAGCCCGGTCTGACAGCACGTCCAGTGAGCTGAAGTGCTGATGCACAAATGCATTTACATATACGGTTTGGCTTCGCACACGGCGATGCTGTTGGTTAGCAGCGAGAATATGCTGTAAAGCAGCCATGGTATCTCACACATGTGTGATGTGGCAACGCCTTTATGTAGAGTAGCGGGTGGAGCGTCCCTTGATGAGGTTCCAGCTGAGCTCAGTTACACCTGTCAGCTGCCTGATGTCTGAATGTAGCAGGTTTGGAGGGTGGATGTGTTTCTGTTGAGCCCTGATGCATTTTTTGGATGTGGTAAACTATCTCATATGTGCATACAGATGTGGGATATGTGCAGACAAATTACGATAAATGATCGTCATGATGATTCATTGGTTATTCCTTGTACTTATTTTTCTTCTTATTATTATTTTTCTTCCGCCAGATTTCGGTGCGTAACTTGTGCCACAGCTTTGAGCGCACATAGGGTCTTCATAAAACATATAGATTCAAGATTCAAAGCGTTTATTGTTATATGCACAGTAAGGACACGCATTTCCCTGCAGAATGAAATTTGTTCTTTTCTGTCACCAATTAATGCTAAACAATATAAATCTGAAGTATAAAATAGGTCAAAATATATACACTGTGCACTNACTGTGCACTGTTTTAATATCTACAAAAGCGTATTGCATTCACTTGACAAATAAAAAAAAAAGTCTGTTTTATTGAGTAATTTTTTCTGTTTTTCATGATAATTTTTTTGTTTTTTGGAGTATTTTTTTCTGAGTTAAGAGAGCAATAGAACAACAGACGCTTTCATTCCTTTCTTGAGAGCTCGATATAATGGAAGCCAACATGACCCGCTTGTTTAGTTTAATCCAGTTTCACTTTGTTTTGGATTTGAGACACTGGGAGATACTCTTGTCTTTAAGTCATATAGATGGTGTTATCATTAGTTTGTCGATTTTACGCAGGCACCAGTCACTTGCAGGTGCCAGGTGGGAGCTTCTCAGGAGATTTTGAAGTATCTCGCCTCCTCGTTCAGGAAAAAAAAATTACCACAAAAAACAGAAAAAAATTACCATGAAAAACGGAAAAAATTACTCAGACAGTAATTAGTCAGAAAGCTTAGTGTAATATTAATTTGCCTGACGCGGCTGATCTGTGCGCATTTGGTCGCTAAGAAGACTGTTAAGAGTGGGTCAGCTCGATCTTACAACTCCTTCTTAGTGAAAGATCTTCTTAAGCTAAGAGCGATCTGGGAAATGCGTTTTTCTTTCACGGGAGGCTTAAGAGCGTTCTTAAGAAGCTCTTAGCGCTAAGAGCCATCTGGGAAACGCCGACACTATAAGTATACTTGAGTAAAGCCTTAACATGCAAATACATTGAATTTGATTGTAGCCGGGAATGAGTCTGCCTAGTTAGTTAGATAGCTAGCTTCTGTGGTTAAAAAAAAAAAAAAAAAAAAAAAAAAGGCGGGCACTGATCAAAATAATTCTGCTAGCTAAACTAGAAGACAGTCTGGAACATACGTGAGCTGAAGTCAGTTGAATGATTGAACAGCGCATGTTCTAGAGATTTCAACTTGGTCATTTGTGTGAAGTAGGACTATAGCTAAATTAATGGTGATAGCAAAGAAGCCTAGTTCAATACTGTGCCGCTGGTATCAAACAGGCTTGAGAGCTAATAGCTGGCATGTAAATGTAGACGTGTTATTACTGATTTCAAAGCAAGTTTCAGAGCATAAGAAGCATAGTAGGCCTATAAATATTGTAAGTAAATACATTTTTAGTGATTATTATCATTACTGTTATTATGTTGGAAATAAACCATCATTTTGCAGCCTTTATCTCACTCCGTCTGCATAATTTCACCTTGACCTTGACCTAAATGCATTTTCTTGAATTCCATTGATCTCAAAAGTATCACTAACTGAATGGGCACCCTAAACTTAGTTGAAAATGGCACCTTAAACGTTTTTCTATTGTGATTGGTTCCAAAGTTAAGCATATTTGAATATTATTGGCGGCCATCTTGAATTTGACCTCTCCAGGGCCTCAGAGGTCAAATCTGACTTACCTCCACATCTGAAAATAAACCTTATGGTATGTACTAACTATGGCAGAAACTTCATGCTTTTTTCAAAAAGTGCACAATTTATCTGCTAATGCGCTGTACTGTTATTAAAATAATGAACTCTGCTGTGACATGTTGAATATCTGCAGTAGAGATGAACACATGAAATGAACACATGAATGAACTCATGAATGAACTCATGAAATGAACACATGAATGAACACATGAAATGAACACATGAATGAACACGGAGCTGTGATGAGGAGAAAAAGCTAAAAAGTGTTTGAACAATAAAAACTAATCAGCTGAATGTTTTCCGTCCTCATGAGAATAAAAGAGAGAAGAAAGATGGCATCCTGATTTCCTGGTTACATGAACATTCATCCATTCATTCACTGCCTCTGTGAGTGTCTTCATTAAAACTAATATTGACAGCAGGTGTTTGGTTTCTATGACTTAACTGTAATATTTCTGCCTTTGTTACGAATCTTTGTCACAAAGTGTCTGACTGTAAGATAAAACGTCTGCGGCTCAGCTCAGGACAGGCTGTGATGTTCTGAGAGAACATCTGAACGAGCCCCTCCCCCGTCACCACACGTCCTTTGTATCCATAAAGAAATGCAGAGGCATCGTCTGTATATTTACGGCTCTGCGGTCACATGGTCACATGGTGGAAACGAGGTGTGAAGCTAAACTTGTGAGAATATTCCCAGACGTGTGTTCTGTATGTGACAGGTGTAAACGCACTCCGGCAACCGTGTCCTCCCTGGTCCTCTTCTCACTCCATTTGCAAAACTCGTGTTTTTAATATTTTGCCTTCTGCTACAGTTTGAGATTTGGGAGACGTTCAGGAACAGTTTTTATCCTTCAGCCATCGGACTGTTGAAGTGTTGAGCTGCAGCACAGGTGAACTCACCTCGTCTCCTCCCTGCACTTCTTTGACCTTTTCAGCAGCTTCTCTTTTAGATGTATTTATTTATCTGTTCATTCACCGAATAATCTTACTGCACTGAGAACTTTTCATTTTTCCAGTTTTAGACGTGAAACAGTTTTTTATGTTTCATTATAAAAATAACAGTAAAAAGGAGTTGGGTCTTTACTCTCCAGTGTCCCTGCTCACCTGCAGAAGCTCAGGTGTCTACATGAAGGATGTGACCCGTCCGTCACACAGCACACGGATCAAACATGTGATGCACAACATGAAACTGGAAAAAATTCAGATGCACCCTGAACGCCACATGAAGAGATGTGACAGACCCTTTAATAAACTGTGTCAACACTTCACCTGACCTGGGACTGTTAGGTCACACCTGCACAGGTGCTCTGTCCTTTATTTACTTGACTATCATGCACTTTGTTTGTTTGTTTGTTTGTTTGTTCCTCTCTTTATTTCTGTGCATGTGTGTAGCTCAGTCAGTGGAAACATCTCTATGAAAATAGCGTTTAATTAAAGAAATAAATGTTAAAATGATTTCAAATAAAACTGTTAAATTTCTGTCACAATTACAAACCGACAGAAAGACAAAAACATAAATCAGGTTTAAATCTGAATAATTTCCTTTATAGGTGAGAGTTTCTCCACAGTGACTCCGTTACATTAAAAACGTTATTAACAGAAATCTAACGGTGATGACGACATGTTGACGTGACGGCTCTGTGGCGGTTAAAGCTGTGAGCAGGTAAAAACTCACCTGGACCTGGTACATGTCTCTGAGTCAGTCCTCCGCCCGCAGCTGCAGCTGCAGCCGCCAGCAGTCCACCGCCACCCGGCTCCGCTGCCTCGGACCGCTCAGTATCTCTCCGGGGCCTCTCGGCTCTGAAACGCCCGTAAAGTCGCGCTGATGTTCGGCTCCGTGCTGCCGCCCGGTCGCTGCTTCCGGTCGGTTCTGGTTCCCGGTCCGTTCCTTCCAGACTGTCCGACCACAAAGCGCCCAAACGCCGCAGGGTCCGGTGATCATCTCGCTCCGCTCCGGTGGAGGGCGGGAGGAAAATAAACCGAGCAGAGCCGAGTCCGTCCCGAGCTGCTCCGAAGTCAAGCTGCCCGGGAAACACGCGGTGACTTCCTGTTCGGGATTTCACAATAAAGCGTTTGCCAAAATAAAGGTTCGACACCTTCAGGGAGCTTTACTACCAGAGGAGCCATTTTTAATTCCAGAAAAATAGAATTCAATCTGCTGAAAAATATATTCGAGCCTTTTAATAAAACTGACACAGCATCATTAAATCTAAATGGTTTTATCATCATGTGTGACCCCGGGGTCGCCAACCTGCGGCTCTACAGTGGCTCCGACCAAATATACAGCTACATTTTGATTTTCATTATCATTGATGACGGCCTGAAGTGATTCTTACATTATCCAGCTGTAAACATGTGTAACCTATAGACGTACAGCAAATTTAAAAAATGTTTTATGATTTCATCAATAAACTGAGTCGTAGCGATGTCTACGGCCCAGAGTCTCTGAACATCAGGCGCAGTGGTTTGTCTTGGGTCTCCATAGTGAAGCTGGTCATGGACTCAAAATCCAGAAAGGACGAGTCTAAGAGGAAAATGTCAAATTTAATATACCTGACAGCAGAGCAGCCACCTGACAGTAAAACATATTAATGATCACACCTACAGACCCTTTTTACTGTAAACAGAGTGATGTGTGTTGGTGGGCGGGGCTTAGCTGGAGGCAAAACAGTTCTCCACAGACATTAGCTAGCGCTAGCTAACAAGTTGTGTTGTCTTGTTTTAGACGATGGAGGAAGATGATGTGAGTGGTGCGTTCAGAAACACTCATTGTGAGTGTGGGAGCGCACTCTGACACAAACTGGAGCGTTGATAAATTGGGAGCGCTGTCTGAATGTAGCGTTGGGTTATCCAGAGCAGCGCACTCTCAGAGTGGCAGAGCGCACTCTGGACACTCTGTCTGTGGAGACGGAGCAGCAGAGCGCCGAGCGGAGTGAATGTGTGATTAACTTAACCGTTGGTTCATTCATGTAGAAATATAACGCTGCGTTTCTTCCACCAACAGGGCTCTCATTTTAGTGTAGAGCGTCAGACTGAATTTACCAACGCACCATGTCAGGTCACTCACTCTCCGGGACCGCCAGTGTTACTGGAATAAGTAAACACTGACCAACGGGACCAGACTGGCCGACCCGTATGCTCTCACTCAGTGGATGGATGATGTCACAGGAAGCCAATCTTACAAAGGAGGACCACACTTGTTTGTTTTGCTATGGAAGCTAACGTTAGCTAATGTGCTAAAAAGTTAGCGTTGCAGAGAAATCCAATCTTCCTCTTAATCCCTCCCCAGTTTCTGATGAGGTGGACATGATAACCCTTAATACACATAACCTTATTCATCCCTACAACAGGAAATACTTTTTCCCTAACCTGATATGAAGTGTGCGCTGCACATGTGAGCATTTTTGATGATGGCCTCCGTCCAGTCCTTTGGTCTTATCACATTTAACCATAGTTGTCTTTGTTTTTGTTGACGGGCAGTGGCGGCTGGTTTTGAGCCATGACTCCTTCTATTCTGGCTCCCAATAACACAACAAGACAAACACATTTTAACACTCCTATGGAGCCTACAGCCCTGTGGGGGAGAGGCAGCTGCACCTCCAGCTGATAACATGATGTCACTGTGATGTCATCGTGATGTCAACACTAAGAGGGTCTATTGGTGATGTTGATAAGATAATTTAGAGGCTGTGTCCTTTATTATAAGGCTCAAATATATTTTTCAGCTCCAGACAGATGGAATAAAACATTTTGGACCAAAAATGGCTCTTGTGATTGTTGAGGTTTCTGAACACTGGGCTAATCATATCTCTGACATGGTTGTGACATATGAACCTTCTAGGACTCTGAAGACAGACTGTCAACACTCTGAAGTCGAAGCTGAAAACGTTCCTATGTGGAGCAGTTCTCAGCAGACGCCACGGTTACATCACAGTTACATCACAGTTACATCACAGCAGTGGTGTGTGCATACTGATGGCAGAGAAACAGTATGGAACGCGGAAAGGACCAAAACGTCTAATGTGACATTCACATAACACGCCAAATTTCTACGTCTTAAGATGGTGAAAAATTATCTGTTAACATGTGAATTTTAATCGTCTTAAGACGTTTGGACGTGAAAGCTTCCCTGCCATTGGTTGGTGTCAATATACCCGCCCCTTTTTAACATAGGGATTGCGCTGGGCTGTATGTATGCCTACGTTGTTGTCACGTGGGCTCTCGCTAGTGAGTACGTTACTTATACACACCTGTGATGGAAAGCCTACGTTTAGCCTACGTACCATGTTACGTACCTATGACATGTTTTGTACTTCCAATGGCTGAGCAAGGCTTATCAAGAGAAGGCTGAGACGGGGTCAAACATGGGGGCATTGCACATGCACAGTGTAACTTGAGCTGCGATTCTGGAGGCTGACAGTGAATAAGTGCAGACCAGGCCATGTTTGTCAGGTGGTCCCAACTAAGTTAGTGAAGTCAATTTTGCACTTGCCTGTCGACCAAAGTGGTCCCAGAATTTGAAGGGCCGTCTCCGTTGTCATTTTGCGTAGCAGACCAGCGATTTACCTGCTGTTGGAATCTGTCCGCTAAAGCTCGCAGCCTCTGTTGCCGGTTCATTTCGGATGTTCGCTGTGGTTTCGCCCAGAGGTTTCGCCACCAGAGCAGAAGGTGGCGGTACTGCACCATTAAGCTGGATGCTAACTGCAGTTAAACAACAAGAGGAAGGCTTGGTGCCTCACCTGATATTTTTGATCCAGCTGCACAGCCACCACTTGGACTGGTTGAGATCAAGTGCCCAAATATAAAGAGCTATGTTGACTGTAACTGCATCAAAATGCAGTATGGAACTGCGTACTGCTGGCAGGTGCAGGGCCAACTTTTGATCACTGGCCGACAATGGTGCGACTTTGTCATTTGTGCCCAGGAGGACGTGCTTGTGCAGCGTACCCATGTTGACCATAACATAACATCAGTCAACAGAAAGAAAGGTGACCAGATTTACTTTCATGTGTTCATGCTATGTTACTTGTCTGTGTCCAAAAGAGTGAGTGAGTGACTGAGTGAGTGACTGACTCACTCACTGACTGGGACTCACTCACTGACTAGGACTCACTGACTGGGACTCACTGACTGACTAGAACTCACTGACTGGGACTCACTGACTGACTAGGACTCACTGACTAGGACTTACTGACTGACTGGGACTCACTGACTGACTAGGACTCACTGACTAGGACTTACTGACTGACTGGGACTCACTGACTGACTAGGACTCACTGACTAGGACTTACTGACTGACTGGGACTCACTGACTGACTAGGACTCACTGACTAGGACTCACTGACTAGAACTCACTGACTGGGACTCACTGACTGACTAGGACTCACTGACTAGGACTCACTGACTAGGACTCACTGACTAGAACTCACTGACTGGGACTCACTGACTGGGACTCACTGACTGACTAGGACTCACTGACTAGGACTCACTGACTAGAACTCACTGACTGGGACTCACTGACTGACTAGGACTCACTGACTAGGACTCACTGACTAGGACTCACTGACTAGAACTCACTGACTGGGACTCACTGACTGGGACTCACTGACTGACTAGGACTCACTGACTAGGACTCACTGACTAGAACTCACTGACTGGGACTCACTGACTGACTAGGACTCACTGACTAGGACTCACTGACTAGGACTCACTGACTAGAACTCACTGACTGGGACTCACTGACTGGGACTCACTGACTGACTAGGACTCACTGACTAGGACTCACTGACTAGAACTCACTGACTGGGACTCACTGACTGACTAGGACTCACTGACTAGGACTCACTGACTAGGACTCACTGACTAGAACTCACTGACTGGGACTCACTGACTGGGACTCACTGACTGACTAGGACTCACTGACTAGGACTCACTGACTAGAACTCACTGACTGGGACTCACTGACTGACTAGGACTCACTGACTAGGACTCACTGACTAGGACTCACTGACTAGAACTCACTGACTGGGACTCACTGACTGGGACTCACTGACTGACTAGGACTCACTGACTAGGACTCACTGACTAGAACTCACTGACTGGGACTCACTGACTGACTAGGACTCACTGACTAGGACTCACTGACTAGGACTCACTGACTAGAACTCACTGACTGGGACTCACTGACTGGGACTCACTGACTGACTAGGACTCACTGACTAGGACTCACTGACTAGAACTCACTGACTGGGACTCACTGACTGACTAGGACTCACTGACTAGGACTCACTGACTAGGACTCACTGACTAGAACTCACTGACTGGGACTCACTGACTGGGACTCACTGACTGACTAGGACTCACTGACTAGGACTCACTGACTAGAACTCACTGACTGGGACTCACTGACTGACTAGGACTCACTGACTAGGACTCACTGACTAGGACTCACTGACTAGAACTCACTGACTGGGACTCACTGACTGGGACTCACTGACTGACTAGGACTCACTGACTAGGACTCACTGACTAGAACTCACTGACTGGGACTCACTGACTGACTAGGACTCACTGACTAGGACTCACTGACTAGGACTCACTGACTAGAACTCACTGACTGGGACTCACTGACTGGGACTCACTGACTGACTAGGACTCACTGACTAGGACTCACTGACTAGAACTCACTGACTGGGACTCACTGACTGACTAGGACTCACTGACTAGGACTCACTGACTAGGACTCACTGACTAGAACTCACTGACTGGGACTCACTGACTGGGACTCACTGACTGACTAGGACTCACTGACTAGGACTCACTGACTAGAACTCACTGACTGGGACTCACTGACTGACTAGGACTCACTGACTAGGACTCACTGACTAGGACTCACTGACTAGAACTCACTGACTGGGACTCACTGACTGGGACTCACTGACTGACTAGGACTCACTGACTAGGACTCACTGACTAGAACTCACTGACT